AAAAATATAAAATCAAATAAAATATACCCAAGTACTTAAAAAAATATCTCTTAATGACCCTGAAACTGCAGCTGTATTCTAAACAACTGCCGCTTTGATGACGCTATCCTCGAAATGTTATCTTTTTTAGATTCATAAAAGAATCGAACTAAAAATGTTAAATATATATATATTAGAATAAAAAAAATAATCATAGGCTATGTTATTTATCCTAAAACACATACCATAAAAATGTTTTTTACAAAAATATAAGATGCTAGACAGTACTTAACCGTAAAATGAGATTTTTACATTTTTTTCGTGATTATGTGATGAGTTGTACAGTTCACAGTACAGTACGTCATTTTTTTGAAAAATTGTGCGAGCTGTTTATACAACTACGTGGACTCGAGTACTAACGCGCCAAAAGTCGTACTTAGCCTTTAAAGGCTAACTTGAAATGGCTTCACTTTGCGTGCGCCTACTAAGATTCTAAGCCTAATACTTCTATGATAATACAACAGTAATATCTATTTTCTATTTCCGGATCCAGTTTTGTATGGGATTGATATTCATTGTTAGATAAGCAATCAAAATATTTGCCTTAACTATTAACACACTTGCCATTTTATAGATAAGGAATTTTAAATTTACCAATCTGGTTTGTCTTAGTGCATATTTCTCCACCATCATTTGCGATTCTTGACAACGATGAGATAGCAAGTAATAACACTATCAGAAGATCAACAAACATGATTGACACTTCTCTTCGCAGATAACAATTCGGCACCAAATTCCCTCTTTTCTATGCGAGCCCCTCGTTGAGCTTCAAGCTTCTTTATTTTACCGAACATAACAGCTGACGCCAACTCAGCCCTATTTTGAGATACTTGAGATGGATCCGCTTCCACTATCACCTTCAGTTCATCATTATCAACATTATTTTTGGTTATAATAATAATAATAATATGGCCACGAGGTTCATATATATGGTCAAAATTTCCTGAACAAAAGCTACTGAACCAATAAAAAAGTATAGAATGGATTTTTTTTGTTTAACATAGATGATTACTTAATACTCATTGAAAATCAGTGGCGTAACAATAGTGTGGCAGGCCCGGCAAAATTAGCCGGAAGAGCCGGCCTGAGGGGGCCGTGAACCCATGAACAAAAGAGGATCTTAACATTAATTATTAGTAAAATGTTGTTTGTATTAGTTTTAATTTTAATTAATTAAATTAGGTAAGTTAGTAAGTTAATTAAAAAAATTATAAATAAAGCAGGCATGTCTCACTCCGCGTTTTAGGCATGAAAATAAACCTACGCTGTGCGGCTCCGTATGCGGGGCTAATTCCGTGAGGTTGTCACGCGCCCGCTAGTGCTGACGCGCGCCTTACGTTAACATAAAAATTATTTTTCTCTAATAAGTATTTAGGCACTCTTGATATTTATTTTTAAGTTTTTATTCAAGTATGGCCTCTCAAAAAGCCAAAAGGTACTGTATAGCATACGAGTGCTTAAATAATAATAGGAATGTAGACTTTTCATTCTTTACTATTCCTAAACATACCGAAAGGTAATATATTAGGTAGATCTAGATAATTGAACGGCTCCGTGGCGCAGTGGCTTAGCAATGAGTTGCAACGCTGCGGCCACGGGTTCGAATCCCGCACGAAACAAGCATTTGCATAGCCTACAAATCATTATTCTGGTTCTAGATGTTTGTCCTTGTGCAATTTATGTTTGTTAACTGCCTGCACAATACAGGAGAAAACCCTAGTGTGGTAGCGTAATTTTTTAACAAAATAAAAAAATAAAAGAAATACTAATACATTGCATAACACCTCGGTGGTTATTTTACTATATACCAACTAATATCAAAGGATTCAATTTGTTTTCTCACAACACCTAACCCTACAGTAGAAGCACTTCTACAGTGGTAGAGCCACGCGGCAGAATTGCTGTCGCACGGATGGGCCAGCTCGAACCGGGGTGGTACCACGACCTCACAGAATACTAGCGTGAAGTAGAGGTTTACCTCTGCGTTTCGCTTGGTGAGTGCAGGTGGCCAGAGGCCCTTTTTATTGGAAATGAGACATTTTGATTCGCAAACGAGGATAGATGTAGATGTCTATGGTCCGCAGCAACCACTTAACATCAGGTGGACTGTGTGCTCGTTTGTCACCCTAATCCTATAAAAAAAATGGCTGCAGACTCCGTGCTACAACAGGTTCCACCCGCAGAGATCGTGATACTCGGTGATTTTAACACCCACCACGCTCAATGGCTTGGTTCTCGTTTAACCAATCATGCGGGTAGATCTGTCTATGACTTTGCTTTGGCATATGGTCTAACACAACTGGTTACTTCGCCTACGCGGATCCCAGATGTGGAAGAGCGTGTACCTTCCCTGTTGGACCTTTTGCTGACCTCTCATCCGGACGGATATCAGGTCTCCGTCGATGCCCCTCTGGGCTCATCGGACCATTGTCTGATCCGGAGTACGGTGCCACTCACGCTCCAATCGCAGTTGCGATCTGCAGCTTGCCGCCGTGTTTGGCACTATAGGTCAGCCGATTGGGACGGGATACGGTCTTTTTTTGCATCCTACCCTTGGGCGCAGCTCTGCTTTTCGCCGGAAGATCCAAGCGTTGTTGCCGATTCTGTTGCTGATGTGGTGCTTCAGGGTATGGAACTTTTTATTCCATCCTCTGTGGTTCCCATCGGAGGCAGATCCCAGCCATGGTTTGGTCGCTCCTGTAAAATAACATCACGTTATAAGCAGGAGTGCTACCGGGCCTGGGCTGACGCATCAACGTCTTGGGATGTAACCACCAGCGCACTTAAAAAGAAGTATAATTCCGCCTCCAGGTCCTTCAAAAGCGTCATTGCTAAGGCAAGGTCTGAGCACATCGGCAGAATTGGCGAGAAGCTAGTCCGCCTTCCTTCGGGAACCCGTGCATTCTGGTCTCTCGCCAAGGCTGTCCAAGGGAACTTCTGTCAGCCATCTCTTCCATCTCTGCACAGAGAGGACGACTCACTGGCCCATGCAGTAAAGGAGAAAGCCGATATATTAAGCTCTCTCTTTGCGTCCAACTCGACTCTAGATGACGGGGGGAACACACCGCCGACCATCCCGCGATGTGAGTGCTCCATGGCGGATGTGCGGTTTACACAGCGCTCGGTTCGCACAGCACTCTTCTCCCTGGACGTCAGCAAGTCGAGTGAGCCCGATGGAGTCCCTCCCATTGTGCTGAAGACGTGTGCTCCGGAGTTGGCACCGGTTTTAACGCGTCTTTTCCGATACTCCTACTCCCAAGGCGTAGTCCCGAATTCATGGAAGACAGCTTTGGTCCACCCGATTCCTAAAAAAGGCGACCGCTCAGACTCGTCCAACTACAGGCATATCGCCATAACCTCCTTGTTCCCCAAAATAATGGAATCCATTATAAACTGCCAGCCCATGAGGTAACTTGAGGATCACCAGCTGATTAGTGACCGCCAGTACGGTTTTCGTCGGGGTCGATCAGCTGGTGATCTTCTAGTCTATCTGACTCATAGATGGGCGGAGGAAGTAGAGTCCAAGGGGGAGGCATTGGCCGTTAGTTTGGACATAGCGAAGGCCTTCGATCGGATCTGGCACAAAGCGCTTCTTTCGAAGCTTCCTTTCTATGGGCTTCCCGAGAAATCGTACAAATGGACCACCAGTTTCCTTGCTGATCGGAGCATCAAGGTCGTAGTAGACGGTGCACGCTCTGATTTCAAGCCTATCAACGCTGGTGTTCCACAAGGCTGCGTGCTATCACCAACGCTGTTTCTCCTGCATATCAATGATATGTTGCTAACTGGTAGCATTCATTACTATGCGGACGACAGCACTGGTGATGCCTTATATACGGCCGTGCCAATATTTCTCGGGAAAACGTCGCCGAGTACCGGGACAAACTTGTGTCTGAAGTCTAGTCTTTGCTTAACAAAGTCTCGGATTGGGGGCGACTAAATCTAGTCCAGTTCAATCCCCAGAAGACACAAGTTTGCGCGTTTACCGCTAAAAAGAACCCCTTTGTCGTATCTCCTCAGTTTCAAGGCACTCCCCTTGCTGCCTCAGCTAGCATTGGAATCCTTGGCGTCTACATATCGAATAGTATGCACTTTCGTGGTCACTTGGAAGGGAAGGCCAAATTGGCCTCTAAAAAGCTTGGCGTGCTCAGCAGAGCGAGACAGTATTTCATTCCGGCACATCGCATGCAACTTTACAAAGCGCAAGTTCGGCCCCACATGGAATACTGTTCTCATCTCTGGGCCGAGGCACCCCAGTGCCAGCTCCTTCCACTTGACCGCATCCAGCGCAGAGCGGTTCGAATCGTCGACGACCGAGATCTTTCTGATCGGCTTGATACACTGGCCCTGCGTAGAGATGTTGCATCTCTTTGCGTATTTTATCGCATCTATCACGGGGAGTGTTCTGAGGAATTATTCGGACCAATTCCAGCCGCTCAATTTCACCATCACACATCGCGACAAAACTCGCGTTACCATCCATACCATCTGGATGATTGGCGGTCCACCACTGTGCGATTTAGGAGAAGTTTTCTCCCTCGCACAACTTCCTTGTGGAATCAATTACCACCAGCGAATTTTCCGGACCGATACGACTTAGGAACCTTCAAGAAAAGAGCTTACACCTTTCTAAAAGGTCGGCAACGCATCTGCAATTCCCCTGGTGTTGCGGTTGTTCATGGGCAGCGGTAGTCACTTACCATTAGGTGAGCCGCATGCTCGTTTGCACCCTCTTCTATAAAAAAAAGCGGTCTTAACAAAGGGGCGTAACGGACTAAGTGATACAGACACTCCCACGCGGATGTAAAGTGCATTTTGATTCAATACGCGCTTAATTAGTATATACTTCTATTATATACTTTCAAAAAGCAACCCGTGACAAGGTTAATAAAATAATCAAAAAACTTGGCTCTAAAAAGGAACCAGGCTCTGATAATATTGGTGTTTCTGATATAAAATGTATGGACACAGAAGGGGCCATTGCCAACCTAATTAATACAAGTGTTGAAACTGGCATTTATCCCGACGAACTAAAGATAGGATGTGTTAGACCAATATACAAGAAAGGAAGACGGGATGATTTCCTGAACTATCGACCAATCACCTTATTATCTTCAATTAACAAAATTGTAGAAAAGTATGTGCGTGAACAAATTGATAAATTCTACAATACACACGATGTAATATATGAAAATCAGTTTGGTTTTCAAGCTGGGAAGGGTTCAAATGATCTTTTGATGAAGTTAACAGATGAAATTAACGAGTACCTAAATAACAAAAACCATGTACTCGTCCTATTTATTGACTTTTCACGGGCATTCGACACTCTTGATCATAAAAAATCATCACTAAGTTGGACGATTGTGGAATACGGGGACCTCTTCTGAAATGGTGTACAAATCATCTCAAAAATAGGAAATTCTCTGTGAGAATAAATGACACACACAGCGACCCAGTGACTGTAATTGAAGGCACAGCACAGGGATCTGTGTTTGGCCCCCTCCATTTTCTATCATATGTAAACGACATGCATTTTTACATAAATCACTGTTCATGCTACCAGTTTGCTGATTACACATGTTTGCTAGTCGCCGATAAATACCCTGATATAGCATGTGACCTGTTACAGTCTGACTTTAATATGCTTGCAAAATGGTGTCATGACGCCGTATTGGTGTCTAAAATCAAGCTTTTACACATAAAGTCTCCTTATATCAAGTGTACTTTATCCAAGCACATTGTAGCTCACGATCATAATTGCCTTCACTCGTCTTGTAAAAACACTTGCAGTTGCCCCTCTATAGATCTCGTCAATACATAGTCAGACATATCTTGGAATGCAGATCGATAGTAAGTTTACTTGGCATAACCACATCGAGTGTGTTTGTAACAAGTTAAGACAATTCTTAGCTAATATTATAATACTGAAGAACAGAATTCCGTTCCCAGTTAAGATGGTGTTATATAACTCTCTGGCAGAATCTTATACACAGTATGGTTTAGGTAGCTATGGTCGTACATTTAATATTATTTAAACAAAATATATAACCTCCAGATAAGAATCCTTAATAACATTGTAACAGACAAGATTCGACGTCAATTTCATGATGACGATAGTATGCTCTTTAAGCACTGCAATATACTACCAGTTCATACACAAGTCAAATATTTACTTTTAAAAAAACACTTTTTTAATGAAAAGTTAGAATTAGAAATTAAGCACCCCGTGTGTACGCGCGCCGTAAGCAGCCGCAAACTACAGACGAGCCAGGCAAACAATATGTACGAGGAACGAACAGCAAGTTACATTGTTCCACGACTTATAAACAACCTAACCCCAGATTTCCGCGATAACTTAAATATAAAAAACATTAAAAATAACTTAAAATGTACTTTTTGTATAATTTATAAAAAAATTACTACTTGAAACAGCGTATATGCGTTTGCTCAGGTCCTAATTAGGCTGTAATGTTTCCTTTTTACAAACTATATTAATTATATGTAACGTCGACTCTGGTCGCGTCATCACAAACCTTAGTGGTTTTCTGTATGCGACTTTTTAGTATAATTTTTTTTGTAATGCTTTGTAATATGGTAAATAAATTTAAAAAAAAAATAAAAAATATGTATAAAACTTGAAAACAACATTGTTCTACCAGTGTTTATTGCCAATGGTGACTTATGAATTTGAGACATGATCTGAGACATAACAATAGATAAAATAGCACCTTATCTAGCCACTATATTTAATACAAGCGTTGAATCTGGTGTGTTTCCTGATTTAATGAAACATAGTAAAGTCATACATTTATTTAAATCTAGTAGTACATTAGACCCCGCCAATTTAAGACCAATTTCTGTACAACGAACATTTAGTAAAATTTTTGAAAAAATAATTTTAGATCAGATATTAAGTTTTTTTAATATTAATAAATTGTTTCATAAAAAATCAATTAAGTTTTATAAGGGGTCGACAACTTACGCTGTAGTTGAGCTTATTAAACATATTTTTTGTGCATGGGAGAATTCAGAGGATGCTTTGGGTATATTTTATGACCTTTCCAAGGCCTTCGAGTGTGTTCACCATTAGTCATTATATAATGCTATATCAAAATTAGTGCATTGGTTTAACGTCTACATATAAACAGAAATAAAACTAATTGTATTAAATTTACAACATCAAATGTTATAAATCTGATTACCAATGTGTTTTTAAATTGGGAAGATCTGAGCCCTGTTGCATCCACTGTTTTTCTTCGCATCACTCACTAAAGCTAAAGCTTCAATCACTTTTTACACGGTAATGTTGAAGTTTCCTGATTAATGTTTCATCGTAAACACAATCGAAGGCTTTGGATAGATCACAGAATATACCCAAAGCATCCTGTCAATTCTCCCATGTACTGAAGGTATATTTAAACATCTCAACACCATAATCAGTTGTAGCGCGACCTCTTGTGAAACCGAATTGATTTTTATGAAGTAAATTATGTATTGAATTCATAAAAATCAAATATTGCCTCTACCACGTATAAAACTGTTAATTAAGCTTAACAAAAATTTCTCCCATAATCTTTTCAAAAGTATATATAGAACATGGAAGTCTGTAGACCATGGAGTCAATATATGCTGTATCTACAGTTCGCTCAACAGAGATGCTCAAATTATCTTTACATTCTTGCAGTTTAAGTGTGGCAACTATGACAAATATTATCAACCCTATGAGGACATATGTGGGGTAATCCTATGTATAGCGGAGGAATTTTGATAGGCTGTAACGATAACGATATTATTTATTTGTTTAAGCCACCTTTTTCATCAATTAGTGGAGCTGGGGCTATGGACATTTATAGCTAACTAAGAAACAGGTAAGTCAGATAATGATAACAATTTATGCATGAATTAAGGTAATAAACAGATGTGATGAAAATATAAAAATATTCTCCCTTAATTTGACATCATTAATAGAGGGCAAAACAGTATCGAGAAAGAAAGAAAGAAATATGTTTATTTGGCACATTAATTATAACAAACAAAAAAATTGTCAAATAGAACAATTTTTTTAACTTAACAAAAACATTAAAAAAGAAGGAATAAAATAAACGTAATATGCACCAAAATGGTCTCCACTCAGCTTTAAGTAACGCTGATTTTCAGTGGAGCCAGGAGTATGAGGCAGATGACAATAAACAGCAAGAGAAGAAATATTAACAAAAATATAAAATAAAAGTAAAATAAAATAAACAAATCTGTCAAAATTCCTTGTACCAGTGATACATTTGTAGTGTAGTAATAACAAAAGGTGGTATACATACAGAAAAATAAAATAAATTGTGTGTGTGTGTGTGTGTGTGTGTGTGTGTGTGTGTGTGTGTGTGAGTGTGTGTGTGTGTGTGTGTGTGTGTGTGTGTGAGAGTGTGAGAGAGAGAGAGAGAGAGAGAGAGAGAGCGAGTGGATGTGTGCATGCGTATATGAGTGAGGTTTTTTATTTACTATTTCTGATCGGTGGAGGTATGTCATTCTAGCACTTAGTGGCAGCAAAGCGGAAACTGCCACGGAAGGCAGCTGTGTGATGCTTAGGGTATGTAAGTTGTGATGCTGTCCTAACCGCACGTTGCGTAAAAATGAGCTTTTGGGACAAGTATGATGGTTCCCCGGTATTTATTACTCCAAAAAGCAATGACGCAAGGTGGAGGGTACGTCTAGCGGCCATACTCATCAGGTCGTGTCGATTTAAAAATGGGGTTATGTGTGATCTCTTAGGGATTATTTAGTGAAGTAGAAACGTTCACAGGCGTTTTGAACTCTTTGTATTAATCTTTTGGTTCTAACGAGCAAACACTCACCAAATACTGTATCCGCATGAGTTAGCTTCGACAGAATGAGTGCTTCACATAACCTAATGCGCACGTTCACTGTCAAATACTCTCTTATCTGGTACAAGACTTTGAGTCTATAGAAACAGTAACGCATGGTTTCTTGTACATGACCCTCAAAACGCAACCTTCCAGCCATAACGAGACCTAAGTTCTGACCTTCCAATACACGTTCTAAAGGATTACTCTTGATATTAATTTGCGGATTGAAAGTTAGAATAGTATTTGTCTGGTTTTGCGTTCCCAGTAACATATACTTAGATTTAATGGGGTTTAATACCACATTATTTTGATCACACCAATCGGCTATGTGGTCCAAATCTGAATTGATTTTTGTTACTGTAATATTTGTGTCACTTGTTTTTTTTTGTTTTTTTTTAAACGTTACCCCCACACTAGGATTTTCTCCTGTGTCGTGGAGGCAGTTTACAAACATAAATTGCACAAGGACAAACATCCAGACTCGGAACAATTATTTGTAGGCCATACAAATACTTGTTCCGTGCGGGATTCGAACTCGCGGCCCCCAGCGCAACAACTGATTGCTAAGCCACTGCGCCACGGAGCCGTCACTGGGTTTAAAAGACATGTACAACTGAAGGTCATCAGCATATATATGATAATTACAGTTTTTTTGGTGTTCACTATATCTGAGCTATATAATATAAAAAGTATGGGCTGGGGCTTATACCTTTTTTAATCATTTCTTTTACAGTATAGGTTATCCACGGATAAGAATGTTTTTTTATATAAAAAGATCTAAGAGGAGCACGCACATTGTATAGTTCAAGCAAAATATTGTTGTAATTTTTCACCATTTTATCAATATCGCCATTTACAACACTTTCCCATTCTATACAGTTGACATCTAAGGCAAATTTTTTTATATTTATATCCTTTAACGGTCTATAGGTAATTAGGTAATGTTTGATTTTATTAATATTCAGTTCACAAGTTAAAAATGCATGACTGCAAAGATCAGGAATATAATTGACGGTTACGTTATAAAGAGTCACGTTAGAACAATTTACATCAATCAATGTTTCACTATGATCTGTGAAGTGTGTCGGTTGCTTTACAAACTGAGTAAGATTCATGTAATCAAAGAAACTTTGCAGCTTTTTAACATTAGTTTCCTGTATATTAAGAAGATTTATGTTAAAATCACCGACTAAGATAATATACTCGAATTTTTTTTTTCTCTTTATTTGGATCACCAACAGATGATACACAATACTAACAAAAATATAACTTAACAATGCGACTACATGCTATGTGTTCATCTTCTTACAGGTAACCACAACTTACATAAATAGCGAAGTGATTTTTAAAAAAAAATAGAAAACAGATAGATATATGATAATAAATATACATGGAAAACCAAATTTGATATAGCTACAGTTTGTGGATTTCATGCTTACATTCTATACATAATATTGATATTAAATTAAATCTACTAATTTTATTACACATTTCTGAAATGTTTATAGATCAAATACTTAAATCTAGAC